AGTCTTTTGTCTTTCCACGGCACTACTGAGGTCTCAAATGTCCCATGATGGGCACAGGTCCCTCCCAGGAGTTGTATCCGAGCAGATGATCACATTCCTATATCTTCCAGTGATCACCTTCATGACGAATACACCCTCTCCTATATCACTTCCGTTGGGTAAGTGCACTGAAGCAAGGGTAAAGGCGTTGCTGCCCTATCTGATGTAGAATGCTACGCTGTCCACCTTGGTGAACTGCTCAAGGCTCATCACATCGAGTGATTATTATTGCAGCCCCAGGCCTCCTCTCTTCACTGCCTAGAGCAATAACTCTCGATGCGAGACCAAATCCTACAATCTTATTCCCACGGCAGCTCGGTTCTTAAACCGCCATGATATCATAGTGTTGGGCGAGAACTCGCAGCTCATCTGCTATAATATACCGTCAGCCCATATTGAGCTGAATAATGGAGATCCTATTCGTGCTGGGTCCTTCGCGCGATATCTTGAGTGGATTAATGGCTTTTTTTGGACCAGAGTTGACCAGAACTCACAGAGTAACACGGCTGGCTTTTGCTCGAGAACACAGCCATTGGACTATGGACGAATGGAGTGCTGTACATTTTACAGATGAGACAAAATTCGCTCTTCGATCTCCAGACGGTCGTGAAAGGGTGTGGACAAGAAGAAACGAAAGATATGCAGCCTGTAATTTTTCCCAGTGCCAACCTTTCCAACGTGGTTCCTTAATGGTGTGGGCTGGGATTGGAGCGCCGCACAGAATTGGTTGTTGTTCGTGGAGGGTCTTTAACGGCCATTCGCTATGTAGATGAGATTTTGGAACCTCATGTGTTGCCTATCCTTAACGAAATCGGCGATCGTTCTATTCTAATACCCACAATAATGCACGCCCACATGTCGCCCGCATAGTGCAGACGTTCCTTCAACAGAACAATACTGAGGTTTTAGCCTGGCCAGCACGTTCTCCAGATTTGAACCCCATTGAGCATTTATGGGATAACCTCGGAAGAAGAATAAGAGCGCGTGCAACACTTCCTGATACACTGCAGGATCTTGAAAGGGCTCTTCGGGAGGAATGGGCTATCCTCCAACAAAGGGACATTTCCCGACTGGTGGAAAGTATGCCGAGGCCTCTTCAAGAAGTAGTGAAGGCAAGAGGAGGAAACGCGCGCTACTAAACCATGATGTAATTAATTTCTTTTAAAATAATAATGGTTCGTTTTGGAATCTTGGAAACATTGGAATCTAGAATCATTTCATTGAATTAAGGATTAAGATTTATTGTCCTCTATATTAACAATCCTAATTGCAAACAAACAAAACGGTTACCTATTTATTTATTAAAAACAATCAAAAGCAGAAATATTTTTAGATGAAAACATGAAAAAATCAAGTGGGCGGAATTTTTTGCCTGTCAGTGTATTTTCTACTTTGTTTTTCTGTGTGATCTTGATTGCCATCCTTTGTATTTTCCTTGCTATCCAACACTTAAAAATAATCCGTTATTAGATTTTTATTTCTCTTAGCCATATTATTATTTATTATGTTAAAATTTTTTTTATATCGGTTACTATCTTCCATATTATTATTATTTATATCTTTATAACACAGTTCGTTGATAAATTAATACGGATAAAAATTATTTACCAAAATATTATATATATGTTTTTTTTTTCTTCATATATTTATTGTCTGTTAGTTTTGTCGCCTTTTAAATTAACTTAACATTACTTATAATCTGGTGTTTAGGGTGGTCCGAGTGATAATTTAATATAATATAATATAATATAATAACAGTTGTTTTTCCCTTTAAAAATTTTTACGGCTGAGTCGGTTAAACAATGTGGTAAAACTATAAACTTCAAAAGACATCCACAGTCGACGAAGGTCAAGTTATGGAACTTCTGGAACCCCTAGGTGGAATCTATGGAACGGATTAGTGTCGCGAACACAAATCTGGGAATCGTACAAGTAATCCAAAACACCGATCCAGAGATGATACAATTAGAGTAGGCCAAGGTTAAGACGACTACCGCTACCTACCTTAAGACCACAGTTTCTGAATTGTAGAGGTTCGGCGGTGAATTGGGTCATCTCAATCACTTCTTGAAAAGAGGTAATCAGATTCACAACTTAGTCGAGCCAAGAATAGCGGCTGGATGGGTTGATCGTTTGGATGCTACTTAATTGAGAGCAACGCTTGTGGGCAGAATAAGGGAGAATGTGCTCAACGCTATCCAAGCAGATGAGTTGATTTCATGGGATGAGATCACCGTCACAAGGACGTTGGACGCCAGAGGAGGGCGTTTGCCGCCTGTTCATCGAAGTAAGAAAATTTGGTCAGTCCGATGGTCACAGTTTCGTGGAGACCATGCTGAATCAGTTCACTGTCATCCCTGTAAAACTAATTGAGAGAGTAGAGCAGGCAAAGCCAGCTAACCAGCTGGCAATTTATGAGAAGGCTCTGAAGGTGCAGCTGGATCAGAACTTGAAGACGAACGAAAAGTTTGCTGCCGAAAAACCCTTCGTCGAATCGGTTCGGGATATAATGGATAAAGACGGTATAAAGGAAAAGGAAGCAGATGGCCAATAATGGAGGCAGGTGCCGTTCAGAATCAGGAGAGAAAGTATGGAATGGTTCGACTTCAGTTCTAAGCCATCTCATTCTCCAAGAGTTGACTATAGGAGGACAGGTCCTAGAAACGTTAAAGAATGTCAGAAGGGGTTAAAGGAAGACAACCGGAGATGTTATGAATGCAATCGCTCAGGGCAGGTATGGAGTGTGAGAGAGGTTGCCCCTAGTGGTGTGGTGACGAGATTAGGGCTTTAATCGACACTGTAAGTATCATTACCTTAGTTAGGATGTTGAAGTTGCTGAATGAAGATCGTTAACTAAAGGTATGTCAATGCTCTATTATTACTTTATGTGGCTCCTGTAGATTATTGGGAGAGTATGTATGGGATCTTGAAAATTTCACCGGAGTGAAAATGGGTACGGTTTCACATGTGTAAGAAGAGCTAACTAGTCAATACAATGTGCTGATTGGGTGTGATTTAAGATACGAGGTGATCGTGAAAATCGGGAACTGCTCATTGGAACGAAGTTGTATAAAGGGACATTAATAACGAACGGGAAAGAGCATCGCGTAGAGGTGATTGACACAACGGAATCTAAGGTAGAGGCACTACTTTCGGAATTCACGGATATATTTTATAGGGATGGTTATCCATTACCAGCGACCGGGAGGACAAAACATGAAATAATCTTGAAGGAAAACAAAGTTTGATGCACGAAGGGCTGAAGATACCCACAATCAATATAGGAATCATTAATGATCAAAGAAACGACCTCCTTCGTCAAAGTATTATACGACATAGTACCTCACCGTTTAGTAGTCCTTTGTGGATTATGGAATAAAAATAAACTAAATCACCACGCAGACCCTTCTTTTCGTATCGTAATCGATTATAGGAAGCTAAACAAAAATAAAGTAGAGGAATAGTACACCCTTCCTAGACTGGAAGATATCCTGGATCGACTAGCGGGAAACCGTATTTTTTCTATTCTTGACTTGAAATCCGTGTACCATCAGGTGAGGATGCGAGAGGAGAATATAAAAAAATTGCTTTCACGTTCAGAAGAGGGCATTATGAGTTTATGCGAATGCCGTTCGGTCTTAAAAATGCTCCTCTCATTTTTAAGAGATTGATGGACGAGTTTCATCGCGGCTATTGAAGATTATTGCCAGATTTAATTGTTAACACCAGATGCATAATCTAATTGTTTTAGTTCTCCCCATCGCCTCATATAGCTCATCTTAAGTTAGTTTTTGAACGCATTCGGGAATTCAGTCTAAGAATGACTTAAGAAGACAGATGGACTAAAAGAATCTTCGGCTTGGGTTGGACGCTGGAAGAAAAAATTGCGTACTTACAACTTCCAAATCGGGCATCACAAAGGCTCCAAGAACGTTGTCGCAGACAGCCTTTCGCAGGCTCTATATGTGAACCCTCTTCATGAAGCTGGACCCTCCACGAATACAATTAGAGACAATGTGTATCTACATGACGAGGACACTATAGATGCTGATTAATTCCCCACGGGAATCCGCCATAAACATCTCAATGAGATGGATACGGTTGTACTCTTGCTGCATTACGTCGCAGATATTACTGGCATCACATAAGCTGATCGATTCGGGAAATCCTACAAACTTATACTGTAGGTCATCGTGCAAAATATGACAGGTATCCCATTACTGTCCACCGAGGAGTATCGCATACCCCGAACTCACCATTATTAGATGTGCAGGTCGACATCTTTACTTGGCTGTGTTTGCATTAGCTTACCGTGCTCCACAAATTTAGCAAATTAGCTATGGCGTACTCATTACCAAACAAAACAACTGATCCCGTCTGGGACGGAATATTCAGTTGGATATCATGTTATGAAGTACCACACAATATTACGTCGGATAGTAGGGGAGAATTTAAGAGCACCTGTACTACTAAGGAACGTGCAGTGCTAAATATGAAATGACACATAAATTCTCCGGATAATCAACAAGTGTGCAGCGCCATTGAATGTCTCCACAATATATTAGGCGAACATCTTCGATTGTTGAACTGGGGTGGAGATGATAAGTTTAGTGTACATATAAATAGTTTATTTTAAAAGAAATTTAGATTTATAAAATATTATAAATAAAAATACTGTACCTGAAGTTCGAAAATAAAATGGTATTATCCAAACATCCGTGGTGTTCACATTTTGTCTTATTCTTTCTTATTTTAACTTTTCTTTATCTAAACATTTTAACTTTTATATATATATATATATATATATATATATTTTGTTATGATCTAGTATGTTGGAATTTTATTATATTAATAATTAATTGTGGGTTGATGGTTGACTGTCGTGAATAATGAAGAGAAGGATGGTTGGGGTGATTATTCCTAATGAATAATTAAATAATTCCTCTTTTAATTATCTTTCATTTAATTATTCATAATATTTATGAGTAATATATCTCTCGTCCATTATTTACGCTTCCGGTACTTTAGTTCAAACTTCGTCAGACAACCGTTAGAGATAACGCCACAATACATCTCTCCCCTCCCTTGCTACCATTTCTTCACTGTACTCTAGCAATCTTTTGGGAGCAGGTTGGTTTTTCTTTTTTCTTTCTTATTTCAGCCTTCTTTTTTTCCCTCCTTCCTTTCATTCCTTTTCTCTGTTTTAACTCTTTATTTTATTATAAGTTGTCAGTACATCTTGATAGACCTTACATTATCTCAATTTTCTATCTAACTATTCTGTTTAAAATATCTTAATTTTACTATTTATTTTTATTTCTTATATAACTTCATATTCCTTTTTTCTGTTTTACATTTTATTCTAAGATTACCATTTTAGTACTTATGTCACCTTATTTTGATTATGTTTACTTCATTATTCCACACTTTGTAACGGTTATTTTTATTTATTTCTTATTTCTTGTTATTGTCATTATTCGACCCACTTCATTTTACTTTATTTTTTTACCTACATTGTTTATGTTTCTCATACCTTGTTATCTGATTCTTTTCTTAGCCCTGATGAAGGCCTGAACTTCAGGTCGAAATGTCGGCAAATGTTAAAATAAATATTATTATTTATTTTGCCTTTTTATTTTTGACTGATCACCCCAACCATCCTTCTCTTAATAATAATTAATATTATGGACAAAGCAGAAATAACATCCGAATCAGGTATAACAAACGCTAGCATAGGTCAGTTATTTGAACAGGTCACCGGAAGTAACAAGAATAAATGCTTAGTCACAATGCTATAGCTGAAATTGAAGTGATTCAGATTGGCAGTTTCCATGTTCCTTCCTAAAGAGTTCGGTATTAAAAGTCGCAAAATACACAAGAGTTGGAAAAAGAGGCAGGAATTCTTGTATAAGACGCCACCGTCAGATCACTACTTAATGGGAGATGCCGTTGAGAGAACATTTTATAAAGTCTTAGCGAGACCAAATTTTATCCAAGACTCCAGGGGAAGCACCGCTAGCAGATGGCAGAAATTTTCAACACTCATCAGACCACAACATCAAGTTAAGTGCTCATTGTATACATATTCTGCAGAACTTTATAATAGAATAATGCTCAGTTTAAATTAAATTTATTAACAATCATTAGCCAATTTTATGAAATATATAATCTATAAATTATTTTATAATCAGTTAAGTGGTTTTAAGTTTTATAATAATGAGTAGTTTGTTTGTTGAAGGATATAATTTGTAAAGGGGTTAATTTTAAATATACTATTTTGTTTTTGCAGTTCAATATGTTAGCTCTCGTATTATTAACAGTCCCAGTTAATAAATCCATAATCAATTTTCCTTTTATCTTCATTGTTTATTATGTCCTTTTCTTCTGCCAAATTCTAATAAATTTAAAAACCCCCCTTTAGAAAATAAAATACCAATGGACAAGCAGGCAATAACAATGAATAGTAATTATCTTATTTATAATTGAGGCTGGAGGAGGAAAGACATGATAATATGTAATAATTATTATTTCAAAATAATAATTTATTTATCGATATTATATCATTACTATTGGTTTGATTAATCTCTTTCTTTGGTAGTAAAAAAAACAATGAATGAAACTATTGGTAACACTGCATTTAATTTATTTTATAACTAGTTATAATTTATAAGGTTTCTAATTAATTATAAGAAAACTATATAAAATTAATTACATTCATTGCACGTGGTGTTTTCACCTTTTCTGTAGAAATATATATTTCATTAGTTTTAGAAATAATTAAGATGTTTGTTACTACACGTATATTCATTTTTTTTATTGATACCATTAACATTTTCTTTTTAAATATATAAACAATAACCTACCTGCAATTTACAATGAATAAAAACTCTGTGTCCATCACTCAAGACCTGACCTACAAATGTTCCCGCTGCTGAAAAAAGGTTGGGAACTCCTGGTCCAGGCCTTTAATTTTTTTTAGTTTATTCTTACCATGAACAATGTGATTGTATGTTATTATAATGCACTTACTTTTTTTTTTTTTTTAGGTAACTGTGGACCACATCAGTTCAGGTGTGATTCGGGAAAATGCATCCCATTGCTTTGGCATTGTGATTCCACGCCAGACTGTGAAGACGGCTCTGATGAACCCAAAAACTGTCGTATGTATTAATCTCATTTTTATTTTACATTTTACTTATAGTTAGCTACGATTAGACCTGTACCTGTAAATAGGAGTAAGAAATTTCTTGTTCAGGTCTACTTGAATTTTCCAATATCTACCCAATTGAAGTCAGTTTCCCCCAAGGCAGCGTTTTAGGTCCCATCCTCTACATTCTTTCTTCCGCTGACACCGCAATTCGATCATCCAACTTAGATAACCAAATAGCATCCTTAGATCTACAAAGACAGCTCTCTCTGTTTGAACACTGGTGTGATAAGTGGTGTATTAAAGTAAATGAATCCAAATTTAAACACATCACCTCTATACTTCAACAAATATCCTGTCCTCCCGTTTATTTTAACTCCAATCAACTTCCTTTCTCAGACACAGTCTGGTATCTTGGCTTTCTCTTATTTCTACTATCTGTATTCTGTTCTAACATAGAACCCACATACTAGACTACTGATTTTTGAAATCAATTCCAAGTGTAACTCCTTGCTGAACACACCACCCTGAAGAAGACCTGCAAAATCGGGTCGAAATATTGGCTTTTAATAAAATAGTTTTGCCACTATTTAGTATATTTATGACCGCCACCCCGGACCATCTCCTTCCTTGAAAATATGTTATCGTACAGAGGGCTGATAAACATCTTGGGATCCCAGAAATATAGCTGAGGAATTCATCCAATAAATGCATGAGATATTGGCTCATTGACTTCTGATACGGACCTTACCTACAATTACCGACCCTACTAAACAGACTACAAAAATCCTGAAACTATTTGATGGTCCTTATATGGTCATTAAAAAGTACGGTAAAACCACTTACATATTGGCAAAGGTAGATAACATACCCGACTGGAGGGAGAGAACAGAGGAAGACCCAAGGTAATATCTGAGTTCCATTCTATGAATCTTTTTTTAAGTCATTTTTTTAATTGGGACAGGTCAGATCGTGCCATACTCCCATAACGAAGCAATCGGTAACATCCTTCAGACCTACAGTAATTACAATTCAACAGGATATGTTATAAATCATGTTTATATCAGTAATAGGTATTTACGAGAATTTAATCCCTCTTGGATCGATAAACTCATATAAATATTATATTGTCTTAATATTAGTATTCTAGAAATCTGATATTTGTTATAGCTATGAATTTTAATATCCTGAAAAGTGACATTACAAACATCTTTGAAACGTTTTGTTAGGGCAGCCCATTTCGTTGGAATAGGAGCTTTGTGACCTCTCTCTGGGCGAGCTAATTGTACATAAATTGTAAACCTGTAAAGTTTATCTTTCACATAAACCCCGAAGAAGATTATAAAGTCGAGATTATAAAAATAAGACTTTTTGATCTTGAGTCAAGTGTTTTCCAAATAATGAATGGAGAATTCTATAGGACCACAGTACGATAGTATTTGTAAGGTAAAAGGTGGTCAAAACCCTCTAGAAACTTAATTGTAAATATCTTTTGTTTTGTGATTGCCACACAAGATTAGTACTACTGAATGGGTATTATGTAGTATGTATGTATTATTTGTGTGTTGTGCTATTCGTGGTGAATAGATTTTCGAAAAGTAAAACAGAAGAAGTTAAATTCTTTAAAGACTCTTTATTGAGAGTGCAAGATGTATAAAGTGAATGTTGGGAATTCATGGAAACGACACCATAAAATGTTGTTTAAATGATTTTGCTAAACAAAAAATGAACATTGTTGAATGAAAGGTTCAACATTATTGTAATTAATATTATTTTGTATATGTATTTTAATTTTTGATAAACTGAATAGACTTTAGTATAGTGGTATTGATATATTGCAAAAATGTGTGAAATAATTGTGGCTTCTTAATAGTACTGATGATGTGTTTTTATTTACAAAAATAATCAAATTTAGTGGGTTCTTTTAAATTTGTATGTATGCGACTAAAATTGAGTTACTGTTTGTATAAAAGTGTATTTATTAGTAGTAGATAATGTTTACATTTGTGTATATTTGAGTTATATTTTACTTCATAATGTCTATATGTAAATTTTTACTTTTCATTCTTGGGTCACGAGGATAGGCCTATTATACAAGTATTGGGAAATTGATTATATTTAAAGAAAGAATTAAATCAACATAAGTTTATTAATTTTTTTTTCTTTGCGGACTCTAGGAGAGTGCTATGTATCGTAATGTCTAATATAAGATGTACAATTTTAATGTAAAATAATTGTCAGCACGAGTCGGGTAAGACCTTAGTGACCATAATACAGATCTTAATGAAAAATCTGAAATGACTTCGGGTCAGTAGATGCAGTGATGGAACCTAACCACATCATATTTAGAGCCTCAGATAATTCCCAACAATAGATTTACTAATGTTAAAATATTTCATGGCTTAATTCTCAATACAGTCCATCTGAAATCATACCTTCACAAAGTCATTTATTAAATTATAATTTTATTTTATTGTTATAATTACAATTTGTATATTAAGATTTTTACATAATTTGTACATATACTTTATTAAACATATAAATAAAATAAGTTTTTTAGTAAGTTATTTTAATTCTGCCACCCATTTATATCATGATGATCACAGGTAACGTTGGTAATTAGAAATCATGATAAACACAAACCAGCCATTGAGAAAAGAAGTTCAATTAATTAATTAATTCTGGACCAATCAATATATTATAGATTCAAATTCGTTTAACTATTTTTTATTATTATTATTAATTTTTATTAAAGATTTCTGGATAATTATGATCAATAATTATCCAGTGGCATCCAGAATAATGTTTACCCCAAAACATAACTTTAATTTCACTTCTAAAACATAGCAATATAGACTTAACTGATTTCAACGAAAACAAATTTTTTATTTTTTTTTTATTTAATATTCTGTCACAGGGACAATAATTATATTGATAAATGAACACATTCACACCGTATATACAAAAAAGAAACAAAATTAACAAAAGTAAAATAATAACTAAATAATAATAAATAAAAACTATATATAATAAAAAAATAAAATAACCTAAATGTAAGTAAATTAAAAACATAAAAATAAAGTCATACCTATATACAATATATACCATCAGGCGGGGAACCCAAATCCCTGCGCTACTCTCTCAACCGCCTCACTGGTGCTAAAGCCGGTGAAGTTTGAGCGAGAGCGCTTTAGCCACATACACTCATGTCTTGAGTGGAGAAACTGTCCATTGCCAGAACTCCAAAATAAATACTATAAAAGATCTCTCGGCCACTGCCGCTTCAACCTTCGAGGAGGGTTGTAGGGATGAGTGGAACTAGATAGGGATTGGGCTAGGGGACTTGGATGATTGATAAGGTTCTGATGGAATTTTGAAAAATTTTCAGGGATAAGGTCAAGCACTAATGGGATATTAAGGTCATGATGTAGGGTTTTGTTGGTTACATAGAACGGAGCATCGACTATTGTTCGGAGGACTTTGGATTGAAAGGATTGGATGCGTTTGATGTTAGAGAATTTTGCTGTCCCCCAAAGTTCAAGTCCGTAGATCCAAATGGGTTTCAGGATTGTCTTGTAGATCAGTAATTTGTTGTCAATTGAAAGTTGAGATTTTCTGGTCAGTAGTCTGTATAATTGGCCGTATCGTCGGTTAAGTTCTTGTCTTTTAAGTCTAGTATGCGGGTTCCACGTTAGTCTTCGGTCTAAGATAAAGCCAAGATACCGGACTGTGTCTGAAAAAGGAAACTGGATGGAATTAAAGTGAACTGATGGACAGGATCTTCGGCGGAGTGTGAAGGTAATGTGTTTGCATTTGGATTCGTTTACTTTGATGCGCCATTTATTACACCAGTGCTCAATCATGGAGAGGTGCCTTTGAAGATTTAAAGATGCTATTTCGGGATCTGAGTTGGATGATAGGATGGCGGTGTCATCAGCAAATGTTGCCAGGAAGGTATTGGGATGGACAGGGATATCGGCGGTAAAAAGGATATAAAGGACGGGGTCCAAGACGCTACCTTGAGGACCACCGGCTTCAACTGGGTAGGAGTTGGAAAATTCTTAACCACAGCGAACCCGAAAGGTACGAGCAGAGAGGTAGGAGCGAAGGATTGGTACAAGGGCTGGGGTAGATAGGTTTTCAGCTTGGAAAGAAGCCCGGCGTGCCATACCCGGTCAAAAGCTTGAGCTATGTCCAGAAAAGCACCCGAGCAATATTGCTTGCTTTCCAGTGCTGCGGAAATATGATTGCTTACTTTACTATGCCAATCCCTTCCAAGACTGTCAGGGATATTGTCATAATAATTCTGCTTTAAGAGCTGGTGATAATTTATTGCTGTGGACTGTAAAATTAGAGAAGTTAATGGATTAAAGAAGTGAATATGTAAAATTGATTGCTTTATTTTATTACATGTAGTTTTATACGGAGGTTAAATATAGGTGGGTTGGGATACTTGCATTTTTTCTTTTCTTCTAGTTGCCAGTCTTCTTGTTCATCTTCCCTCTATTCCTTTCTTGGCCACTTGCCGGCCGCTGTAGGTTTTTACTCCATTTTCATCAAATCAGTGGAATAACGAATTTTCTAACTGGCCAGTCTTGTCAATCTCTCACGCTACGTGAGCGTCTACGCTTCAACAATGGCGGCGTCACAATAACAACTGAGATATATATGCAGTATGTTCGAGATAACAGCTGTGTTGTGGTTTCTTGATTAAATTCAAATTAAATTTAAATATGAATTTTGATGTGTTCCCTAAACAAGCCGCCCACCTAAATTAAGCTACGCTAATTTACAATAAAAACAAAAAGCGTAGCATAGTGCTTTGATGTGCTAATACAAATGTGATAATGTAAAAAAATTTCATCTCTTTTGATGAAATTAAAATAAGCAATCATTATTAATTAAGGAAGTTAATGGTAATTGTAAATAAAATATAAAAAGAAAATATTCGCACTTCGATTGGTCAAAATAACAAAATTGGTTAAACAAAACACGATTGGTTAAACAAAATTA